TCATGCACACAATTTATTTTAATACATCACGCCTCGCTATACTGCTTGGTGCTGTGTCTTTGGTGACTGTTTTGGTGCCCTCTCCGTGGTGCGTGAAGCATGCTGTCCCGGGTGACAGGAGCCTCACAGTGAAGTGTAGTGAACTCTTGTTGTGGTGTAAAGAATGTTTTGTGTGTAATTCTCCTTCGTGGCTTCCTGGTACTGGTATCGGCAATGAGGCAGAGTGAAAAACACCTGCCGCCTCAGAGGCGGCCATAGTTTTTAATTTTTATGTTGCTTGTTGCATTAGACAACAACTAGGTATACACCGTAGCGTACAAACGTGCTAGGTGTATAGGTGTTTGACGTAGGCACAACTTTCGGCGGGGAGCTTGGTACACACTTGTGCTGTTTATTGCGAAGATGCCGTGGCTGCCTACGAAGAAGCGATTTCCGACCTGTCAGATCAAGACTGGCAAAAGTGTTCTCAGAGTTAGTTTAGGCGAATGGAACTTCGTATAGAGTATGATGGAGAATATTTTGAAAAGATGTAAAATAAATATTAATAGTATCTAGAATACTTTTTGTATATCTTAAAACTTATTGAGTATCCTACGTATTTACGCTTTTTGGTGACTTTTCTTCACCCATTTCAACTTTCTTTTATGTCTACTTCCGTGGTCCATAAATCAGAACTTAGCCTACGGAATTCAGGTCCTTGAAGCCAGCGATGATTCTCATCGAAGGTGGAAGGAAAACTTCTAGAGGCGTCGTCTGCCACGTTTTGTGACGTCGGTACCCATCGCCATTCACATGGCCTACTGTGATCTTCGATCTCAGCCAGTCGACGAGCAATGAATGGTTTGAAAGTACGAGGATCTGACTTAATTTACGCTAACACTGTACGTGAGTCCGTCCAGAATACTCGTTCGCATATTTCATATTTGCTCTCTTCTTTGACCGATGCAGCTAGTTGGCTGCCCATAAGAGCTGCTTGTAATTCAAGCCTTGGAATGGAAATCGGCTTCAACGGCGCTACTCTTGCTTTAGCGGCGATCAGCGTAGTTTGCCTCTTTTCTCGCTCGTCCGTGGTGACACCGCGACGGCGTACGCTTTTTCAATAGCGTCCGTGAACGTATATAACGCCCCCCTGCTGACGCCTTCAGCAATCTGGGCAATCTTCAGCAAAATGGGTCTAGGTACTTCTAGATGACCTGACTTCTTAACTTCCGTTAAACATGTACACCATAACACGTCCAATTCGTGTGGAACTTGATCATTATAAGAGATGCCTAATCTCCATGCTTGCTGAATCAGTGACTTTCCTTGCACCATTATGGGTGATGCAAGTGCTAATGGATCGAAAACTGACATCACAGCGCTCTTTATCTCCCTCTTTGTAGGCGGTCGTAAACCTTCTATCACCTCCTTAGGTGTGTTACGAAGACTTATGGAGAAAATTAACGTATCTCGTTTGATATTCCATATCAAACCTAACGTGCGCTCCGCGTGCTACCTATCCACTAGCGAAGCACTGGCGCTCTTATATTTATCTTAAATTTTACTTAAAACCTCGGGTCGGTTCCTGGCCCATCCCTTTAGTTGGAAAGAAGCATGTTTATGTAATTCATACATAATTATCGTTTACTATCCTTTCGGCCGTCGTCACGTCAGGAAATGTCTATAGATAGTCATCCATACAAAAATTGCTTCCCGTTGCGGAAGCTGTTTCTGGATGGAGATGTGCGTTATCTTGTGCACTTCTATTTTTCACATAAATAACGGTGCACGGAGATGACACCACTCCAAATATAAGTGACATCATTCTATACTCTTCTGGTGGCGCGTTAGCGATTGTGCCGCCAAAGAAATCGGAGACTGCAGGAACATCTCTTTAATATCTGCCATTACTGCCACGTTTCTTTTTCCGATTCCTAGCAGTACGCTGAATAATGACTTCAATAAGTCAAGTCCGGTCAACAATGCGTCATTAAGACAACGTCCTTGCGGCTGCGTTGAAAACAAGTGTTAGTTTTTTCTTCTGCGGATGCGTCACCGCGAAATGAGGAAGATACCACGTGTGTGGGGACATGGAAATATGGGTCACCTTCTCTGCGTAACCGTTAACAATAAGATTTTCGACTTGCTTCTCATATTCTTTCTTCAATTCGATATTCTTATCGAGTTTCTTTTCGATGTTGATCAGGCGACTTTCAGCCTGCGCTCTATTCGATGGCATGCGTTCTTTATCCGTACGCCATAACAATCCTGCCTCGTACCTGTTTTCAGGTATACGATGTACCGTTTTATTCAAAACGTTCAACACTCATTCTTCTGGGTCGTTCGCGGGCTTACGCGCCGATACGCCCAAAGACTCCAAACTAAAATAATCCTTAATTAACCTCTCCATATCCTCTCGGAATAACGATTTTGATTGGTTTAATGCCACCTGTCATGTGACCATGTAAACCCCATCCAAGTTTGGTAAACGATACCACAGGTAGGTTCTTACCTCCTAAAATTAATTCGCGAGTAACTATGATATGCCAATTATCCTAACTAAATAATATGGTAGGTCTGGACCTTTTATAAATTAACTCGTCTTCTATTGGTATCAAATGAGGACACTGTCGCAATAATTCTCGGCTTACCGATTGTGGAGAGAGATTAAGTGAGTTGTGTATAGCCAGCAACGCAAAGTCAGGAATTTGCATTTAGAAAAACCCAAAATACAAAACCCTAAGTGCTAATTAGGTGCTAAGTTTTAAAATTAAGTGCTCTAAAATTTTCACCGCAACGAACTGTTGAAATTTGCGTTGCTATCAAAACGTATCGCTAGCAACGCAATGAAGTTATTAGACATACGATAAATATTAATAGCAAGGAATTAAGTGCTTATTAGGTGTTGCAAGTAAAGGTAACGACAAGGCACTCCTAATAAAAAAAAGTGGTTAAATTTTAGAGCTCCTAATTTTTAAACTTGGCACCTAATTTGCACCTAAAAAGCCCCTAATTTCGAGTTTTTCTCAATGCAAATTCCTGAATTTGCGTTGCTGGCGAGACACAGCCTATGTACTTAAGTTTGTCGATATGATATGATATTTTGAAAACATAACGTTATTAGTTACGTTTTGATATATACCTAGTCAGGTCATAAATTCTGTCACATGTTTAATATAAAATAATTGAAACAAGTTTATTCATTATGTAACCATTTATATACCAAAATGAACTTAACAAAACATAGATTCTTATGACACTAAAGTTTATTCAAAATGACCTCCGTGATTTTGAATACAGGCCTTCAATCTGCGCGGCCAGTCGTCTATCGCAGCACGAACCAGGTCCATGTCAATATCGGCGGCTGCCTTAATCAAGGATGTCTTGAGTGACTCCAAATTGGGATGAGGCTTTGAGCACGCCTTTTCCTCCAAGTGTTGCCATATCTTGTAATCTAACGGATTCAAATCTGACTTGAGGAGGGCCAGTCTTCGTGCCGGATGAAGTCGATTTCACGCACCGCCAGCCAGTCTTGTGTGCTCTTCGCTCTATGAGCTGGCGCCGAATCTTGTTGGAATACCCAGTGCCTGTTATTGAACATGGTATGAGAAACAGGTTCCACAAGGTTCGTCAAGACTATATTTTGTTACACAACTGCATTCGTTTTTACACCTTTCTCACAAAAATGTACCTCTGTTAAGCCCCAATAAGAAACTCCCAACCATACCATGAGCAAGGATGGAAAATGACCTCGTTGGACACGCGGAATACGGTTGCTCGCTTCTTCACTACTGTGTGCGTACACCTTATCATTTTGTTTGTTGTAGCTCTCATCTACGGTAAAAATTTTTTCATCCGAAAAAAGAATTTCCCGATATTTTTTTCCCGCGTACCGCTTCAACAAAGCGCGGCATCTCTTCAGTCTCAGGTCCATTAGACGAGCATTCAAATGTCCTGTTTTTCTTCGATATGCCCGAAGCCCTAAGTCTTCATTTAACACCCTTTTCACCGTGGTTCTGTTTAACCCCATCTGAAGGGCCAACAGTTTCTGCTTACGTTTGGGATTTCTTTGAATTCGCGCCTTCACAGTTTTTATCACTGCTGGAGTCCTAACAGACCAGGGGCGACCACTTCTTGACCTGTCATCTACACTAGAGTCTTCATTATATTGTTTGATGGTACGATAAACGAATCTTTTGGTTATATTCAAATTTTTCAGTATGTCAAAAATTTGAATTGGCACGTAACCGCAACGATGCAACGCAATAACTGCAACACGGTCTTCTTTAAGCGTCCACTCCATATTTAAAAATGAGTAAAATTCTAAAAAGTATACAGTTTTATTTTCATGAACAATTTGAAATTCGAATTCAATAAACTTTTTTGTGGCCAGCATTCTAAAAGAGAAGTTTTTACTGTGTGACAATACTTATGACCTGACTAGGTATATCGGTCTCATACCTACTTTGTACACTTTGATGATAACATTGTAAATACTACATAGTCTGTGATGATGCATTGTGTAGTAGCCTCTTAGTAGTCCCCACGTAGTAGATAGTGCTCAGAAGGGCTAGAACCCATAGCTGTAAAGTCAGCTATAAAAACAAAACAATACGTAATTATTTATCTATGATGCGGTGATGGTAAATATTAACCAGGAATAAATTATCGACGTACAAAATGATAAGGTTTATATGGGTGGTTTAAACTTATTTTTCTATTAAATCAATAATCTTAAAGAACAAATATCAACATAGTGAGTACTGAGTAAAGTGATTTAGTGATTTTATTATGAATATTAATTAATCGAGTATTTGGACTTAAGCGCCTCTAGTGCTTTTAAACAAAGAGACCTTTATCTATAAATCACTTGTTTTTTTTTTTTGTTTTAAATTGTCTTAGTTTGTACCCCAATTACCAATATGTTAAATTGTAAGCGATGCTGTTGTCTTCAACTTTTTAATTTTATTTCAGTAAGAAAGTTATAGTTAAAACGAAGACTCTAAATCGATAGTCTTAAAATGGGTGCTGTTCTAGGTCTTTGCTCCGCAGCTCAGGTAAATCGAACAATACTAAATATCTTTTTACAGAATACAATAGTTCATATGATTATTTTACTATTTATTTTAATAAACATTTTTGTACATACCTAAATTGTGGCTATTTTTATATTACTTACTAACTTGCATTATATGCTGCAAAATGGGATTATTTTTAAAAAAAAAATTGTAAAATGGTTAACAATCATTTAAATATCCTTTATGAAGAAATGGATTGCCGATACTAATAAATTGTTCTTAACGTGTTCAGCTGGCTTGTTGCTGTGGTAGTGCGGCCTGTTCCTTATGCTGTTCTGCGTGCCCATCATGTGCCAATTCCACTTCAACCCGCCTTATGTACACTGTCATGTTACTCATAGTGATGATTGCCGCTTGCATCACTTTAGCACCTGGATTACATGATCAGTTAAAAAAGGTAGGTGTATAATTTTTTAATATGTGGCCACTTAGCATTAATAAATGTAAAGTATTAGGAAAAATTTTCTTTTTTTTATAGAATAAGGGTGACAAACGAGCACAGAGTCCACCTGGTGGGAAGTAGTGCATGCTGTGGTTCATAGACATCTACATCTATCCTTGAATCAAAATACAGATGCCTTGTCACCCCTGAAGACTGAGATGGATTGCCTCGTTTCCAGTAAAAAGGGTCTCGAGTTCTCTATATTCACCATACTAAAGACATCAGCATTAAACTGCTATTTTATGCTGGTATTCTGTGAGAGCATGGTCCTACCCCAGTTGAGCCGACCCATTCGTGCTACAAAATAGCTGCAGCATGGCTCTACCACATACAAATATTATTAATTTTCAATAAAATCCAAAATATTTTTCAAAAAATCTTATTTAAATACTCAATTGCTAGAAGAATTTTCACTTATCAGATTGAAGTTTTGATATATTGCACTTAAAATAATAAATTCTTACTAATGTCTTTACAGCAACATTGTTTTTAAAAATTTTAGTTTGCAGGAATTATTTTCAGACACTAAAAGATGCAGCAGCTTTTAACATAAGTTACAAAACAATTTTTGTTTTGAATCTTGCCTTAATTTATTAATATTTGGGGGGGCTGCCAAACCACATACCAAATGAAAATTAATTTAAATAGTGTTTTTGACTGTATTTAGTGTGGAACTATTCTGTTATGATTCATTAGTTTCTTGACATTCAGCACAACAAGTACTGCAGTGGTATAATGTTGGTTGATTGATTGATGGTAAAGCTTACTACAGTGTTGGTAGACTAGCTTACTATGAAATAATTATGTTCAAAAGTCCACTGCTGTAGATAGACCACCCCCATAGATAGACTCATAAAGGGAATATTTGAAAATATGTATTAATGGTATAAATTGTATTACAGAATGACAAAAATATTTAATATATACAAAGCAAAAAACAAAAAAATATTGTTTTTTATATCAATAATAAAGCAATTTGTTATCATATTGCAAATACATAATGCAGTTATAGAGTGATTCCCACCTGCAAATATTTCCCACCAGAGTTACACAATGGGAATATCTTTCTCCTAGTTACCAGAATTTTTCAAAATATAGATAAAAGCTATTTAAAAAAATCCAATGAGGAAAATTGCAGTTGTAAACAGTGCTAAAATATTCATTGATTCGCATCCTTAAGATTTCTATAACAGCGGAGACATTAAACTTTCATTAAAATGTCATAAGTATATAGACAGTAATGACTGATACCTTTTACTCATGCTTAATCATTATGTTATGGCGTAAGAATGATGATGCTTCCCATTGTCAATCTGTAGAGCTTAGGTTGGATATTTTCGTAAGGATAGCGCTCCGTTTATTTGTAGAATGGGAGAGTCTTGTTCATTAACCCATTCGCTGTCCCGTGCACTACATATAAGTCATTGCTATTGTCTTACTATTGTGTCTGAAACTCGGACAGTGAGTGTTAAATAAGCCAGGTGAACTGTGTGCAGGTGAGACTGATACTGATAGAAAAAACTAACCCTTAAAAATTAACCCTCACATTCCTTTTTTATTTGAGAAGGGGTAAACAAACATGTGGCTCACCTAATCGTAAGTGACTGCCACTACCCATGAACATTTATGTCTATGGTGGCTAACCTTGTAAAAAAAAGTAGGCCATTTTCTTGCTTATACGTTCAAAGGTTTTTTTTACATTTTTAATTTTACCCTTGATACTGTTTACAGGTGCCATTCTGTGAGAACTCTACTGGGCTAGTACCAGACAAATTTAAAATAGATTGTGATCAAGCTGTAGGTTATTTAGCAGTTTACAGGTATGCTATTATTCATTTAAAAGTAATTCTATTCCTTGTAACATATTTAGATGACTAATTACTTGATTTTTACATTTTTGCAGAATATGCTTTGCAACTTGCCTCTTCTTTTTGCTTATGGCACTTATTACACTTGGTGTGAAATCCTCAAAGGATCCTAGAGCTGGTATACAAAATGGGTAAGATATTGGATATAAGCATTAGTTAAAATTAATTTTGTTTAATGTAATATTAGACGGCTCCGTGGCGCAGTGGATTAGCAATGAGTTGCATCGCTTGGGGCTGCGGGTTCGATCCCGCACGGAACAAGTATTTGTATGGCCTACAAATAATTGTTCCGGGTCTGGATGTTTGTTCTTGTCCAATTTATGTTTGTAAACTGCCTCCACGATACAGGAGAAAATCCTAGTGTGGGGGTAACGTTTCTTTTTTAAAGAAAAAAAAATATAATGTAATAATTTTTTTTTTCTGATGATTCAATTACTTAGACAGTATATGTTTTACAGATTTTGGGGCATTAAATATCTTGTTGTAATTGGTGGCATTATAGGCGCTTTCTTTATTCCCGAGGGCCAGTTTGCTGCAACATGGATGGTATTTGGCATGATTGGAGGCTTCTGTTTCATAATTATTCAGCTTATTTTGATCATTGACTTTGCACACACTTGGGCAGAAAATTGGGTTTGTGAGTATACTTGCACATAATTAAATAGCAGGGTCCTGTATGTTTAACTTGTTAATTTTGTAATAAATTTTTAATTAACTAAAACGTCACTTCCATATTTGCAGTCTTCATAAAAAGGTAGTCATAAAAATAAAATCAATAATATTGATAAATAAAATTGCCAATATGAATAAATTAAATTATAGGATGTCAACAAATATCTCAACTTTCAGCTTTTCACAACAATATATTTTTTAAGTAGTAATAGTATTTTTTAAGTTTATGTATTTTGCCTGAAATAAAACTCGTACTATATTCACTTGTTAGAAGTTTAGTTGTTATCATTCTCAGCTGAGTAATATTTGGATTATTACCAAAGCACTATAGCCTCAAAAGGGCCACAATAAACTCCCCTCCTCCTTTCACCTGATTAAAAGTGGGTGTATACAAGAAAGATAACTATAATAATGCAATATTTAAGAAAGGAGAATAGTTGTGTTAAATGTAATTTTTTTTTTTATTGAATATTGGGCAAACGAGCTTGCGGTCACCTGATGGTAAGTGACTACCGCCGCCCATGAACAACCGCAACACCAGGGGAATTGCAGATGCGTTGCCGGCCTTTTAGAAAGGTGTAAGCTCTTTTCTTGAAGGTTCCTAAGTCGTATCGGTTCGGAAAATTCGCTGGTGGTAATTGATTCCACAAAGAAGTTGTGCGAGGGAGAAAACTTCTTCTAAATCGCACAGTGGTGGACCGCCAATCATCCAGATGGTACGGATGGTAACGCGAGTTTTGTCGCGACGTGCGACAAAACTCGCGTTACCATTTATATTATTTCAGTGGATATGCTTCTAGTCTCTTACTTAACTAACATTTTAACTATACATTTTTTTATTTACATTTTACATTTTATTTTAACATAAATTTTTTTTTTAATTTAAATTTATTATTATATTTATTTATTATATTTATTATATATTATTATATATATTATATATATATTATTATATTTATTATTTATTAAATTTAAAATTTAACATAAATTTTATTTCATTTACATTTTAACATTATAACTAACATTTGGTGTTGTTATTTTTTTATGGATGAGGATGGCAAATAAGCATACGGCTCACCTGATGGCAAGTGATCACCGTTGGTCATGGACATCTGCAACATCAGGGGAATTACATTCTGATTTATATTTTGTCACATAATTCTTCACAATATGCTGATACGTCACATTACGAAGTTCAAGGGAGATCTCTACGACAACCCTCTAAGCTCGAAGCCTCCTAAGCAGATTTTTTTTATGAAAGAAGATTCTTCTGCATCTTCAATTCCCTTTGTGTTGCATGAACATCTGCAACCCCAGGGGAATCGCAGGTGTGTTGCCTGCCTTTTAGAAAGGAGTAGGCTCTTTTCTTGAAGGTCCCTAAGACATATCGGTCCAGAAAAACCGCTGGTGACAAATGCATTTCCCAGTACTTTATGATTTAGAATGAGGAAAACAAGGGTGACTAATATTCTTAATTACTTCTGTGGCATTATTTGTGGTCAGAACAGCAAGGCAATTTAACGAGTGGCCTAGTTTTATTGTACACTGTATATTTTACACCTTACTTATTTTATTTTTTAACATATTAACTAGTTTTTTTCTATATAGCAAAATATGAAGAGTCAGAGTCACGTAGCTGGTATGCTGCTCTTCTTATCTCTATGCTGACATGTTTCGCGCTGACGCTGACCGGTATTGTTTTGCTGTATGTGTATTATACCAAGGTTAGTTGAAATATTGGTTTTTAATAAAAAAGCAAACAAAATCTGAATCGTTATGTCTAAAATCTGTCAATAAATCTATTTTTTTCTTGTTAAATAAATACAGTGGAATATTTCCGTTTATAATGACATCAAAGGGAAATAACAAACACGTCATACTGAGCGGACGTCATAATAAACATTTTGTAGAAAATAAACAATCTCCTGTTTTTGTTAGTATGTATTTATTTTAATAGAGAGAAACAAACTAGAGATAAAATATAAAAATAATAATTGTACGTAATAAGTACATAATATGTATTTTTTCATTCGCTATCCCAACCTCGAAGCCATATTTCAAAAATTTCTGACGTCATCCAAGCTTTACGATTGCTTGCATTACCGACACGTTACGATTTAACTGGTAAAACATCTTGGCTGTTGTGACTTTCCAATAACGAGCAATTTCTTTTTCTCTGTGCCGCTCATATTTGCTTCTATCACGACAGTTATTCGGTCTTTCGACAACTTGCTTCCACTACAATTCTCACCTTTAAATTTAAAGTTCCGTCCGGCATTAATTTGGAAAATAGTTCAGTTTCATCTGCATTAAAAATCTCCTTATTAGAAAATTATCTTCGTAGATTCGACCATACAGATGTCAACCAGTTTGTTATTGAATTTTGATCACGGATTCACCGACGATTTTTCCCGCTACAATATTATGTCGAACTTTAAAATGACTTATCCAGCTTGCAAAACATTTGAAGTCAAGAATACCAAAACATAGGGCCGCTGACGGGTAGTTTTTAGTTTTTCATGATTTTAAACCACTGATTTAACACGATCAACATTTTCCTGTCGCAATTTTCGAAGCCTTTTCAGTTTCAAAACATTTGAATTGAACGATTCCTTAATCTGGTTCTTGTTTTTGAAAATCATTGAGATTGTCGATTGACCAACCCCAAATTCCTTTGCGAGAGATGAGTTGGACTCACCATTTTCTAATCTGCATATTATTGCACCTTTTTCCTCAATCGTAAATGCTTTACGACGACGTTGAGATGTAATTTTTTTCAGAAATCACTAACAAAAAATGCGTGACCTTCAACTAACAATTACCCACTGAGACTTAATACAAAAAAAGCCATACACGCGCCAAACGTCGTCGGGTATCACGTGCCTCTCCCGAACACTGCCGAAGGTGTTAGGAATCATGTCGGTCACTATAACCGGACACAATTTATTAAAAATGGGTCACAATAAGCTATATATATATATATATATATATATATATATATATATATATATGTGTGTGTGTGTGCCATTTTGTTCGATAACTTGTTACCATCTTGTAGGTAGTGACATAACTCCGTTGCTGTAGAAATCGTGGGATTTTTGATCAAAAAAATGCGACAAGTAGTTTCGATAGTCATTTCTTGATGTAACCTAACACTACCCAAAGGATTCTTAAGAGACCGAAACAGGTTAAATCTGAGGTTGCAAGGTCAGGACTATATGGTGGATGCATTAACACTTCTCAACCAAGCTCTCTCAATTTTTGCTGAGTGGCCAAAGATGTGTGTGTGGTCTGGCGTTATCATGATGAAAGACCACTCCTTTTCTGTTGATCAATTCTGGCCGTTTTTCTCAATTTCTTGCTTAAGTCTCGTTAGTTGTTGGCAGTGGAGCTTGATGGTTTTGCCCGGCGGTAATAGCTCATAATAAACGATGACCTTTCAATCCCGCCATACACGCGGCATCACCTTATTGCGTGTTAATCAGGGTTTCGCTTGTCTGTAGAGCTTGACCACTGTTTGACCATGATCTTTTTCACACGTTCTTGTCGTAGGTGATCCACTTCTCATCACCAGTGATCAATCTTTTCAAAAATGGCGGTTCGATTTCATTACCTTTCAATAGAGAATGTAGGCAAATGAGTAGGTAGACAATTCATTAAGTGTCTTTCATTGAGCTCGTGTGGTACCCAAATCGAGCTTTTTTGTATAGCCAGACTGTTTTAAATGGGGCAAAACTGTTTTGTGGTGAATCCTCAATTCCTCGGCTATGTCGTAACTACTAATATGCCGATCTTGCTCCACTTTTTCAAAAATGGCATCGACTTTATCCTTATGAGGACGACCAGAGCGGGCCGTATCTTTGACAACAAAATTCCCGGACTGAAAACGCTTGAACCAAATTTGTACTACTCTTACTGACACTGCATAAGGTCCATAAAAGTAAATTTGAAAAAAAAACGTCCGAAAACAAACGTTTTCGCGGCTTGAGTCGCATTTTTTCTTTTTTTGTAATAATACTTCAGAATGTATTTTCTTTGTTAGATTCACTCATTTTGGCTGACAAAAAACAATTGAAAAATGGCAGGAAAGTTTTTTTTATATATTATTTTTCGGTTTCTTAATGTCCTATACGTATTGATATTAAAACGAGCCACATACAAACAGTAACGAGAGATTTTTCTTCAATTTTATACAAACAAAATACGAAGAAACTTTCCCCAACCTCTTATATATTTTGTTAATACATATCTTTATATTTATTTTTTAATTTTATAACAAGTCCCTAATATGATCCAAATAGGGTTTAGGGACATATAAATTATTATATACATTTTAAATTTTAGGGTATGAATATGATGCATCAATTTTCAATTTTGTGCCATTGCATCACTTCATATTTAGATTCATGTTCCAAAACATAATTTCGCTAGTATTGTTTAGGTAAGTTATATAAATTATATAGTAGTTAATTTCTTTTACAGCCCAGTGGTTGTGACCTCTCAAAGTTTTTCATTTCATTCAACTTGATACTTGTGGTGATGGCAAGTGCCATTTCCATACTGCCGTCAGTCCAAGAACATCAGCCTCGTTCTGGCCTACTACAGTCCTCTGTAGTCTCTCTCTATGTGATGTACCTCACTTGGTCAGCACTCTCCAACTCTTCGAGTGAATGCAACGCTAGTATTTCTGGAGATGAAAAGGTATGCAATTTTTTTATTACTCTGGATAATAGACAAAACTAGTATTATTTTTAATTATAATCTGTGTAATTAAAAAAATATATTTACATTATTTTATTTATTCTAATTCTAAATATATAATATGTAAGTATTAACACTATATTTAAATTATATTATTATATTCAAAAATGCATAACCAGGAAATACAGGAAGACATTTATTGGGTATGTATATAAACGGGGCTTGATATAATTTTTTTTTTTTACTTACACTGGTCACTTGATATCAAACCATTTTTTTTCTATCATGTATATTTGTGTAAATGCTTAACACTATATTGACATACTAGTGCACTACAGCTTTAAAACTTATTGCGTGTAAGTTTATAACAATAGTGAAGTACCTATCTCACCATTTTGTCATATCCATTATTATCATCAATCCTTTTTAAGTGAAGCACAAAAAAGCCCGCGTATTTCTTGCTGGTTCTTTTTTTTCTACAATCTTCGCGAAATTTGACATTAATTTGCTGTTAAATTCCATACTTTACATTTTAATTCTCATACTTCGGTGTGGCACAGATTCTAGATGAAACCCAAGAGTATTTAGAGGAGATATATATAAATAAAATTAAAGTGTCTATTTGTAATATCAAAATAACAGCTTTTTACTAAATGCATATGAAAATATATACAGTACTAATAAGAAAAAAACAATTTTAAACATTTTTGTGTGTCTGTCTATCTGTTTGTTTCGGCTAATCTACGTAATGGCTGCACCGATTTTGACAGGACTTTCACTGGCAGATAGCTGATGTCATAAGGAGTAATTTAGGCTACTTTTATTTCAGAAAAATAATTAGGGTTCCTCGCAAAAATATTAAAACCCTAAATAACAAGCGGACGAAGTCACGGGGAACAGCTAGTACAAAGTTCATTTTATGCGAGTGAGAGAAAATGTCTTCATTCGACAACTTTTGAACCAGATTGGTAGTTAGGTATTTACGTGTGTTTTTCGGACACGAAAATTTGTTTCTGCTCTTCTCCCACTGAGACGATAGACTAGAACTCTGAAGAGCATAGCCAAACATTCAATGTGTTAATACTTAGTAAAGTTAGGTTACGCTAGGGAATGCCAATTGTTTTGATTTTTATTATAATAGGATTGGAATTAATTTTATTATGATCCTGATATCTCGCCGGGCGTTCCGGATTTCCATGACATCGGTCTACGAGCGTGAACGAATAGAGAGTGCACCTGTGTTTGCGCCACACACTCGTGCACTATAATCCTATCCTGCGCACATGGCTAGTATCCTTTCGGACTTTCCGCCGTGTCCGGAATTCGGTCTGAAAGCCATTAAATGAGAGTAACGACCTAGCTGAAGTTGTGTCAGATTTCGAATTATTTGATATTAAGTGAAAATACCATAATAAAAATAATATCAGTAAATGCAGAGCTGTGTTTTTTTTTTGTTTGTGTTTCTTTAATTATTAAAAAAATACCAGGATCACAGATTGTACATATTCGTGTCTTTGCAAACTGGCGTCATTTGTCTTTCCATTTTACTTGTATAAGCTGTAGTTTATATAACATTAATTATTTCCACAGACCTCGTTTGACAAGCAATCGATCATTGGCCTTATCATTTGGACATGCAGCGTTTTGTATTCGTCTATCCGCACCGCCTCTTCCTCTTCAAAGATCACAATGACTGAACATATACTTGCTAAGGACGGTAATGCAGGTGAATATAAGATTCTTTATAATGGTTGTATTATTAGTTATTGATATTTTAAAGTGTTTTATGATGGCGGCGTAAGATAATCTTCTTCTCTTGCTTAAGCAGCCTGTGAAACTCCACTGTTGGACAAGGGCCTCTCCCGTAGTGGGAAAATTTGCCTTCATCACGCTTGGCAGCCGTATTGACGATCGTAGTACCTGACGTCACGCACCTTTTTTAAAAGACGGCTACAATATGTTCCAAGAAAATCTTTGACAAATTAAGAAGAAAAGAAACTTGATAATAGCCATAGGTAAAATATACAGAATACAGACTGATAACAAGGATCTGCGTTTGAGATTCGAGGCATCTAAGGCATGATAGTGCGATCGACAGTCCGTCTTCCAAGAGTTAGCTGCTATGGACTGTGGCCCATAGACATCGACATATCCTCATGTATCCTCGATTACGAATCAAAATGCAATTGCGTTGTCACCCTTGAGGCCAAAGATGGAACACCTTGTTACCAGTACAAAGGGTCTCCAGTTCTTCACGCTCACCATACGAAACACAGCAGCGTTAAGCTGTTATTTTACACTGGTTTTCTGTGAGAGCGCGCAGTCCTTCCCCGGTCAAGCCGACCCATTCGTGCTACAACTATACCACTAACATAGCTGTACCACGTAAAGATTTATGGCATTATTGTAAAAAAAATGCTGCATTGTGTTCCAACACATAATTATTGATTGAAAGTTATGATGACAATGTATGTGTATATTTTACAAAAACCATAACCTAGTTGTTTCAGTATATAGTAAGTTGTTTCAAAATATACTGAATTTTGGAGTTATCGGAAAAATAATCTCAAATAATCGCTTACCAATAAAATACAAGCATTGTTATTCTTGGCATTAATTCTAGACTGCCTCGATGGTCTAGTGGTCATGACGTCACGGGTTCGAATCCCGGAACGGGCCAAAAAATCAGTTATTGAGTTTTTCCTTTAAGAAATTCTCAGTAGATGCCCGGAATCAGTAAGTTGGCGGTGTCTCCCCCCCCCCCCCCCCGTGCCTCTGAAAGCACGTAAAGCCGTTGGTCCTGCGCCTGATCATTCTCCGGTCGTGTCGGTTTACCGTCCCAGCGGTATAGCTATGCATACACTTGGGCACTATAATCCTGTCCTGCGGCGATAGCTAGTCTCCGTTAAGGCTGGCCGCTGTGACCGAAATTCGGTCCGAAGGACATTATTACGTTATTATTAATTGTAGATACTACTACCTACTATTTTTATTATGTAACAATACTAATTAAAATGTGTACTGTATTTAATAAACTGCATGAAATACATAAAAATACATTCTTATATAACCTTCAAGCGCAGTGGGTTAACACAAGGAAGGCACAGTTTTGTATTGGATTACGCTATTTCTCTTTTATCTTTATTGTATTATTACTTTTTGTTTTATCTTTTATGGCACTAAATGACTTATGTTGTGCATTCCTTGCGGACGTAACGCGCGGCGGTGGCGCGGCTGCGTAAGGACAAGGAGGGCTCATTGCTAATGAAGGTAATTGCATCTTGAATGCTTTCTTCCGTCAAGGAAAAAGCAACAATTATATAATGGTTTTGGGTATATTATGTGCTACTTGTTAGTTATTGGCATGCTTATATACGTGTATCTCTACTTCCTATTTGCCGACTTTACAATACTGTTGATGCCTGCTCTACCTAAATTATACCTATTGAAATTTTACGTAGCCTGGTCTTTGGGAATACTGAACAAGATGTCGGTCACTCCCAAGAATAACCAGCACTAATTAAACATTTTTGCCCTTTGCCAGTTACAATAAACTCAACCATCAAAAGCAAAACACAAAATACTGCATATTAGAGTATGAATATGCAGTATTTTGTGTTTTGAACCAGAATTAGATCAAATATAGTAATTGTATTTGTCACTTCCAGTAAAGCCGTTCGTTCAGATGGTATTTGACATGACTTGGTAATGCCAATATTTGCCAAATTGTGTCCAGTATCAAACATCTTATAAATTGTTTTTCTTGTTTATCTGGCACCTTCCCACTGTGAAACACATGTGAAAAAAGTGGTCCTACTTTCTGCTTCTAAAAATTCCCCTCCTACTGCAGCAGTCGTAGACCAATATCTATCCTCTTATTTTTCTTTTCTCCAAAATACTTAAAAAGGTTGTTCATACTCTTCAAAAATAAATATTTTAAAGCATTTATAGTATGACTTCCCAGGCCCTTATAAAAATAACTGATAACCGCCTTTTTGCTTATCGCAATAACCTTTAATTTACTCCTTTTGTCGTACTTGATCTGATTGATTCAGTAACGCATCTAATTATATTGTCTATTACATTTTTACTGCTTACAACTGCCCTGAAACTGTCCTGAAATCACTAAATTTGAGATTTGTACAATGGATCAGTTCATTCCTATCCTCGGCGTCGACGGCAGCTCATACGTGTTGGTGATAGCTCGTTTTATCTCCGTTCCTGTTTTTCTGATTTTATCAATGCACTTGCTTCTGTAATACCTTTTAGCAAGTATCACCTGTACGTAGACGATGGTTAGCTGTACGACTACTTCAGAATAAATGACCTGAATCAGTCCGAGGGCAAAATAAATCTTGATGTCGCTGCGGTTCACCATTGGACGAGCAGTCACGGACTAATATTAAACCCAGCCAAAACGTAATATGGTAATAATCATGGCATTAAAAAATATTACTTACATGTCGGTTATACTTTCAACATCTACCTAAGCTAATCTTAACGGCTTCGATTTAGAATATGCTAGGCAACAAAAGGTAGCTCAAGCATTGATTGAAGCTCTGGCAAATATTCTAGGAGACCCTAAGCGAACAAGGTTGGTTTCTTACCAAGGACTAGATCGTTATCATGAATGTGTCGTTATGCTGCAGCTGGCAGGATCTTTTCTTGAGGTATCGTGATGAAGTTAGATATAAATGTGGCCGAATACAAAAATGTACAGAGAAATCATATGCAAGTTAATAAAAAATCAAGTACTTAACCCAAAAGTATAACCACTAATGGGCGTACATAATAAAAATAGTGCATGATCTACTATTATTTTATGCACCCATAATAGATACATGTAACTTAGCAAGCAGAAACTAATTACAATTTTAGTTTAAATTGGCTGGCTCCACAGTTATGCCCAGTTGTGTGTTTACGCTCTCGAGTAGTGAATCCACATTTTACAGTTTAAATATAAAATTTAAACTGTCTACCACCTATCGGGTTCAGATTCTGTGATTTAGCTTTTGTCTCAATGTGTGTGTGAATATAACTTCAATTGGTCAAGGCGTTAAGAAGTTACATGATCACTAACAGACGTTACAACGATTATATTAAATTCTATATATAAAAATGAATTGCTGTCCGTTAGTCTCGCTAAAACTAGAATGCGGCTCGACCGATTTTGATGAAACTTTTAGTGTGTTTGAATGGGTCTCTAGATGGCTTAGATTTTGGACCCGGTTGGTGGCTCTAATGTAGAGATCCAGAAATTACCCGTGCGAAGCCGGGGTGGATCGCTAGTAGATGTATAAAAATTAAGTCTCATTTCTGACCGTATTATGAAGCAATTAGTCCGCCGCGATGTTCCAGTGAGCGTGATTCTACATGTCCAAGAAGTATATTATTTCTCATATGTGCAGAGGTAACCTTTCGATGTTTACCTTATAAACTGAGCACGTGGTAAAATTAAAAAAATATAAATTAACTACTTAATTACTTTCGTTTACTTGTATTTTTTGTAATTATTGGGCAACTGAGCAGGAGAGGAAATCATTTCGATTCGTTAGGCTTTCACAGAGCTCTGAATTCCAGTGTTAACCTGTTTCTTCTCCCTACACATTACCACTACATTACAGTAGAATTTAATTATAATTTATTTACATATTACATGACAAGATACCGTTTCATTGCTTGGTCAGCGACATAAAACCATTGCATGCATACATAAACTCCATACTTTATATTATGTTAATAAGCTTACTGTTAGACTTAGTATCATTTTAGTACGCTTGTAAAACAAGACTCTAATAGGTGTAAATTTTGGACGCGCACTGAGCGCAGGTTATGATTCTATAGAGGGCGATGGCGGTGAAGCGGGTCGCGGCGAGGAAACCAAGGTGTTCGACAACGAGGGCGACGGCGTGGCTTACTCGTGGACGTTCTTCCACATTGTGTTCGCTTTGGCTACCCTCTATGTCATGATGACGCTTACCAATTGGTACAAGTACGTATATATCTCGTTCTATAATGCTTTTTAATATTTCATAAACTAGAAAAAAATATCCTACACTACCTGGCATGGGTGTCGTGGTATTCGATTTTTAAGGGAAATGCAATAAACTCTTATGGCAACTATGTCTCAATGTTATTAATGAGTGATATAGGTTGACAAAATGAAGGTCTCTCTTATAAAATATTATTATCATATCCTATTTGTAGCGGCGTCAACAAGTTTGGACTCCACTGACTTTCTTGTAAGAAAAGTGCTTGTAGGTTATCCCGTCACTTTCTGAATGACGTCTTCCAACAGACTTTTTCTCTATAAATATTTCCTCGGTTTTGGGACTTTAGGATGTTACTTGCGTGGACACTTTGGCGGCCTTTAGCTCAAGGGCAACTCACTTAGAGCCGGGGAGCCGGGACTTTTGATAGGCTGTATGTAATATTAAAATGTTGTATCCTATCATACGCGGGGTCCAAGCGCGGTGAAGTTTTTAAAGGAACTCGTCTTTGCTGGTAACAGATTATACTTAAATTAACATTATCTTACATTATTTATGTACAAATCGCGTTATTATTAACATCATGATACCTGCGATATTTAAGTTCTTTGCATTTGCCTATTATAAACAACTATATTAAGTAAGGCAAATGTTGACGCAAATCGACTAACATAGGGAGATACTCCAACCGATTCATTGCTATTTCGGTTATTATATTACAATTTATGAAGGACGTGCTTATGTTGACTTTCTCTAAACTGTACTGATTAAAACACAGCCTATCAAAAGATCACACTGCTGAACATAGCCTCCCACATAGATTGCATCATATCATATCTGCAGCAGCAGTTTATTGTTATTTTGAGTTATCACAAAGATGCGGATGCTCGTCTACGTTTCATTTCCACGTGACGCTTCTTACGTCACCCACGGGACGTTATGAGGTAGTAGATTCTCATACGACGTCACGCCATGGCTATTAGGCGAGGCCGCTATTTTGCTTATGTAATGTAAACGCTGAGCTGTTATCTAGTATCTACTCATTTAGATCTAATTATTTTAAGTCAAATTAATGCAACTTGAAATGGTACTTTGCCGTGTGGTGGCGGCGTAAGAATCGATTAAACTCAATCAATGAATTCCCTCGAGATTCCTGTGAAATCTTATAGCATCCGTAGATGGCAGCATAACCAACCTCGTTTACCCCAGAAGTTAATACCAACATCGACGACGAGCAGCACCGTCAAAGGTGCGTCAAGCGTGTCGATTAGGGTAAATTCCCTCTAATATGGAAGAGTTCTTTTACGAGCTAGTGATGAAAAAGATATAGTAAATAATAATAATACATTATTAAATAATAATAATACATTATTAAATAATAATAATACATTATTAAATAATAATAATACATTATTAAATAATAACATATTATCTTTTCAGTCCAAGCTCTCAACTGTCGAAAGAAAATGTAGCTTCAATGTGGATCAAAATTACATCATCTTGGCTATGCATAGGGCTTTACGTATGGACCCTAGTAGCACCCGCCATGTTCCCCGACAGGGACTTCAGTTAAGCGTTTTATTTAAAAATCAATGTTACTTACAATATTCAATGTAGGAAGTATAAGTGTTGTTGTGTAAATGTATTTGAATGTAATCATTTTTAGATCCAATCTATACTATAATAATCTTAGTTATCTTGTGCTAGTTATAATTATTCAACTTTCTAGCTACTCTTCAAATTTTCTGGCTAGGAACTCACGGAGTGATATTTACTCACTCCCGCATCGGTAGGTAAAAACCTGCTATTTTATTTCAAAATTCACCACCAGACCGCAGTATTGTGCGAATTACTGCCCGCCGTAGAATCGGTAGCGCCGTGGCGGTAGATGATCGCAAGATGAATTATAATTAAAAAAATATTATAATTAAAAGTATAATACGCTTGTCGCGGTCCCGCTACCGCTGCGGGCTCGGGTAAATATCGCTCCATGAAATCTTAACATCTCTCAAGCACTATAATATATGCTAACCTATAATGTTTACTGTTAGAGCTTTAAACAACTACCTATGTCAAATTAGAATTTATTTTTAAAATTTAAATAAATGTATGTCCTTGAAACTGGTAATTTATCTTTTCATAAATATTATGTTTTGACGCGCCCTACAAATTACATATCAAGTGAATTATTGTTTTGTTGTATTTGTTCCTTGTTAAGCTTTAAAATTACAATTAAGAACTTTATTAGAGGACAATATTGAAGTTAAAAAAAAATACAAAGAATAAATCTTGCTACATGCAAGACATTTGGCTCATATTTTTAACAATATGGTTAGATAATAGTTATTCCATTTCATTACGACCTATCAAGTCCACTGCTCATAAGGGGATAGGCTACCTCATAGGAGCGATATTTGCCATAAGTGGCACGGCTGGCAGGCAGATTGGCAACCGCAGTTGTTTTGTTATTTCGAGTTGTTATCAAGATGATGCAGCTGCTCATCTCTTGTTTCATTTCCCTCTCTCGCCCTTACGACATCCACGTGATATAATAGCGAAAAACGATCGTGACACCACTTTCCGATATCAGTATTATTCTTGCTCGAATTGGAAAACAAGTGTGAAAAAAACTAAATATGATCCGTGTGTGACTGAAGTATTTTGAGTTTCTACTATAATGTTATACCACCATATTAAATGAAAATCTCTAATAGTGATGCAATGACATAACGGAAGCAGAAACGAAACAACACATACAATTTTATACAAATTTAATTTTATTAAATTAATATTCAAAACGAAGTAGTGGTTAGTTATATTTTTTTATAGGAGAGGGGGCAAACAAATGCAACACCAGGGAAATTACACGTTGCCGGCCTTTTAGAAAGGAGTAAGCTCTTTTCTTGAAGGTCCCTAAGTCGTACCGGTCCGGAAAACTTGCCGGTGGTAAGCTATTCCACAGAGAGGTTTTACGCGGAAGAAAACTATTGAAACGTACAGTGGTGGACGGACAAGCATCCAGATGGTGTGGATGATATCGGGAGTTTTGCCGCAATGTGCGTTCGTGAAATATGGCAGCTGGGATTAATCCAAACAATTTCTCAGAGCACTCCCCGTGGTAGATGCGCAAGAAAATGCAAAGGGAGGCAACATCATCAACAACAAGTGGAAGGTGCTGGCACTAGAGAGCCCCAGCCCAGAGATGGGATCAGTGTTCCATGTAAGGCCGAACCTGCGCCTTGTAAAGTTGCAGGCAGTGTGCCGACATGAAATACGGACCCGCTATGGTGAGCACGCCAAGCTTTTTAGAAACCAATTTAGCCTTCTCTTCCAAATGACCACGAAACTGCACGTCACTCGATATGTCAACGCCGAGGATCCGATACTGGCTGAGGCAACAAGAGGAGTGCCCTGAAACTGAGGAGATACGACAAAGGGGTTCTTTTAGCGGTAAACGCGCAAACTTGTGTCTTCTGGGGATTGAACTAGACTAGATTTAGTCGCCCCCAATCCGAGACTTTGTTCAGCAAAGACTCGACTTCAGACACGAGTTTATTTCGGCCACATTTTCCGAAGAAATATTGGCACGGCCGGTGTATAGAGCATCACCAGTGCTCTCATCCGCATAGCAATGAATGTTACCAGTTTGCAACATTTCATTGATATGCAGAAGAAACAGTGTTGGTGAGTGATATCACGCAGCCTTGTGGAAAACCAGCGTTAATAGGCTTGTAATCGGAGCATGCACCGTATACTACGACCTTGATGCTTCGATCAACCAGAAAACTGGTGATCCAATTGCACAATTTCTCGGAAAGCCTATAGGAAGGAAGCTTTAAAAAAAGCGCTTTGTGCCAAACCCGATCGAAGGCCTTGGCTATGTCCAAACTAACGGCCAATGCCTCCCTCTTGGATTCGATCACCTGCGCCCGTCTATGTGTTAGGTAAACAAGAAGATCACCAGCTGAGCGACTCCGACGGAAACCGTACTGGTGGTCACTAATCAGCTGGTGCTCCTCAAGGTACCGCATGAGCTGGCAGTTAATAGTGGACTCCATTATTTTGGAGAAAAAGGAGATGATGGTGATAGGCCTGTAGTTGGACGGATCAGAGCGGTTACCTTTTTTAGGGATCCGGTGCACAAAAGCTGTCTTCTATGACTTCGAGACAACGGCTAGGGAGTAGGAGTACCAGAAAAGACGCCTTAGAACCGGTGCCAACTCTGGAACGCACGTCCTCAGCACAATTGGCGGGAATCCATCCAGACCACTTGACTTGTGGATGTCCAGGGAGAGGAGTGCTTTGCGTACTGAGCACTGTGTGAATCGCACATCAGGCATAGAGCACTCACACTGCGGGATGGTCGGCGGTGTGTTCGGAAATATATTTTATAAAAAGAAGTTTACCCGCTTGCTTTTACACCTAACAATCTGTTCCGATGTTTTTCATACATAAGACCAGCTCCGCTAAATAATTGCTCACTGATGACGCTGCTTGGAGGAGCTGATAAATATTGGCGCAATAATAAACAAAGATAACGATATTATCTATCACTGCCGGACCACTAAACGTAGTGCAGCAAGTTCTTGCTTTAATATCTCATTGTTTTTAATTGTTTTAGTTTACGTTGATCGTTTAAAAAACAAACTTTATGTCAAAATAAATAACGTGTATACAACATCTAACGTAATTAACGCACATCCTCAGACACCCCAATTGGTATATTATGTTATAATCATAATACATACACTGACTTTTTAGTTAAACATTACATTTATTAAATTAGTTATACTAATTCCGGAAGAATGTTGTGGTCACAGTACAAATCCACGAACGCTAGGTATAGGTCATATGAGTCTTGCTAACCTAGTAGGTATTCGCTCGCGATCGAGACGAGTTAATGCCGCCGCCACTTGACATAACTGTAGGTAGGTATTAGTGCCGAAAAAAGCCGACAATACACGATTGGTCACGTTAAAGAAATACATGAACATTAACAGATGCCAGAACTCCGAGCATCGAGTTGTTTATTTAAGTCTAGTAAACATTTGATTGCATCTTTCCATCACACTTTTCAGACTTTGGACTCTGAATAATTTTGTTTATTGATTATGATACAATGTCAATATGCAATATTCGTTACAAAATGTTATGAATTTGCATAACATTTTAATTGTAATTAATAATGAACTGCTACAAATAAGAGGCGATACGACAACATAATTCAAAGACGGCGTGTATAAAAGATGTGAATCAAGATTACAAGGAGGATGTCAATCGTGACGTCCACTGTGTGGCACGTAGCGCCGATCTGCAGGAACCACATGTCTAGGCCCATATGGTACAATTCGGGCCATAATAAATTGGTTATCATCGTTCTGTAGCGCTCGACGTTGACGGTGACCGCCTCGTCGTTTTAAAAAAAGGTACGAATGAATGACGCCTTCGGACCAAAATTCACACTATTATAAACGGTAACTTTTTGAGAATGCATTATCACCTGGTGAACCTCACGTGGGTTGGTGCCGTCCCATATACGGGGATTCTGCTTGTTGATAGGTTGAAAGATGATTTATCTGCTAAAATTGGGGTCCTCTTCCAAACGATTCGAAGGTCATTCAGGTCAACGGTCAAGGTCAACAAACGGCGTTGTCTATGGTCCATGAAGTTTGAGCTCCTGGGTCAATCGCATCTTGTACGGTTGTAGCCTTAAGTCCCGATGCAAAATTCGCCAAGTTGAAGTCTGCGAAAGGCAAAGTTCGTGTGCACGGCGAGGAATCGACTGCCTCAAGTTCTGCTGTACACTTTTACGAACCGCGACGATGTTATCGGCCGATCTTACGTTCCTTGAACGTACGGGTATTGGGTGGTTTACCGAACCGGTTTCAAATATGGCCACCAAACGTTGAAGAGTCGATTGAGAAGGGCTACCATGTCTACCGTAAAATGGGCGCAATGCGCGCAACGTTTGCACTAACAAACACTCATTTTGATAATAAAGTTTTATCATTTGAACGTGCTGTTCAATCTTGTAACTTGCCATGGTGATTTGGCATAAGTAACTGAATAATAAACAAAAGATTTGATAGATGTCACCAAAACAAAATGGCCGCAACGGACCGCCAAAATCTATCCGCGTCAATTGAAAAACCTTTTATATAGATTTCGATTTAAAATTCAGTAAAAATGTAGTTTATAAGGTATTTAACAGATGCTGTTTCTGTTAGTTATAAAAATCCTGATTTTTTAAGATAGTGATTTATATATATATATATATATATATTATAGGCTAACGGTTAACGCCCATTTGAACAAGATATGATGAAGTGTTTCTTATAAAACGATAGATCATATACAAAATATTACATTTTATTAAATATCTTAAAAAAAAATTTACATAATTTGTTAAAATTAGATCATAGTTCCATCAGATCTATATCTTTCTTCACTTCATACTTGAGAAGTTTTGCATATCTTTTTAATAATTTTCTCCAATAACATTTGACATCTTTCACAGCCAAATTATCCCAAATGTGTTGAAAGCCTCGATCTGCGATTTCTTTAGCTAAGGAGTCATTTTCTTTAAAATATTCTATATATTTAATAATATCATTTTGGTTAGCTTTTGGGCTTATAGGAACATAATGTACCCATGGTTTTAATGATGGATAGAAGAATTCTAACCAGTCATCTCCAACATGAAATACTAGAGATTTGCACAGAAATAAGTGCTTGAAGCGGAAACTGGCAGCAACCCCTCGATAGTTAAACAGATATTTATATTTGCAATGATCTTCAAATGATACTTCAGCAGCAGGAGGTGCATAAAGTGTATCCTGTGAACAACGAGGATACGAATAAAATAATTAACACAAATGGAACATTTACATGGAATTCACTATCAATATAGAAAAATCTCAAAACTAAAAAAATTGTCCTGTTACAGAGCACTAATCATAAAATTTGGCAGTGCGCTCTGTATGCGGTAGATTCTGCTTTATCGAGAGCTTAGCGATATCGGCTTCAGCTCCTCACTTGTCACGATATACCTTCGAATCAAATCTTGCAGAAACCGTGGTGGCGTCGCGGAAGAATGTCTCCCAACGACTTCAAACGAATACAAAAGAAATGATGATGATTTCAAAACAAAATACAATATTAAGAAAAAGCGATAGTGCTGAAGAATTTTCTTGGTAAGTGCTTTTAATAAGTACTTAATGATATAAAAATATTAGTAAAGTTCCATGAGATCGAATAGCTCGTTATTAACCGCTTTTACATAAACGTCAGCTGTTCCATAGTTCTTTTTTTCTTTTCTACTGCTGGTTCGTACCTCGATACCGAGACGGTAAATACAGGTTCCCTTCACGCAGCGCTCCTCACTCGTTAGGATAAAAGTGCTCAGTGAAGAATCTATAATAAATGTCTACAGGCGTACCGAATAAAACAATACCGTACCGATGAATCAATAAACTGGATTATAACCAATACACGCAGTCTTGAGCGAGATTTTCATTTTACTTTTATCACTATTGATATCCTTGTAACACGTGTGGTCTACCACTCTTTTAATTTGTCTGCGACCGCGTATATGTCGATCTACCATTTGATCGGTCGATAAAGGGGATTTTTTGTTTATTTTGCAAATTTGAGACATTGAACACTAATTGGCGCCCTTTTCAAACCTCACACGTCTTCACAAAAACAAAATAAAGACATTTGAAGCAAAAAATATTCCGCTTTGTCTCGTATGGTGAGTGAGGAGGACTGGAAATTATTTTTACCAGTAAGATGGCATTGCATCTTAGTGCTCAATGGTGACGACATATATGCATTATAAATCTGAAGAAAACTTGTTGTTTGGCAATTTGTCCATAGATAAATGCATTTTATAAGACAGGGCTTGTTTTTGACCTCTGCCATTATTGTTAATGATGAAGTGTTAATTTGTCAACACCACTAGATTAAATGGTTTTAAGCGTTTTTTTGCGTACACCTTCTGTTGTATGGCTCAAAAATTATAAATAATAATAAATAAAAAAGTTGGATTACCGCATCTGACTTCCAAGCTTGATTTTTTGTATACTGTGCATCCACAAGATCGGGTCTAGAACGAGATAACAATATCAAGGCATCTCTCTCTTCACTAGTTCTTGATCCTCTAAAAAAGGCTCGCGTTTCCTTTTTATCCCACGGCCACCTAAAATATAAATATTTTTAAGCATATAATTTTATCCAAACTTAATTTGAAATAACAATAAAGGTCAGAATCAAATTTATCGTTTAATGAATGAATCCAATGTGAAATTACTCCAGAATTTCTAAATTTTCAATCACTGCCAGATTCACTCAATTATAAAAAAATCTAGTGAAGCAATGCACATAGTACTCTACTCAGTACTTGAAATAGTAATCAAAAATTTCATTTGTACTGGCACTGAGGATCAACCTCTAGGGTTGCTCCATTCCACAACATCCATTACAGCCTATAAAAGTCCACTGCTGAACAAAGGCTTCCCCAATAGATTGCCTTATACTAATATTTTTGGGATTTTGTCATAGTTGTTTCACTTGGCAAGCGGGTTGTCAACCGCAGTTTTTTTATTATTTTAAGTTGTTAGCAGGAAGACGCTGCTGCCCATCTCCTGTTCCAAATTCCTTCTGTCGCCACTAAAGACACCCACTGGACCATATGGTGTAGTGGATATTCTTACACCGCCCCTACAAGGTTGTCTGGTTTTGCTCATGTACCATTAATTCATAAAACTAAAAGCCTACACATGAGATACTGAGGTTATCATATATTTAGCATCCATTTATTGATACCTTAGCCTCATTTCACAGCAGCCTTGAAAAATTTATTTATTGTGTAACATAATATATAAGTACAAACTGTCCTTTTTTTTAAATATTCCACTGGGTTTCTTGTTGCTTCTTCCCAAGACAGAGGTATTTTCCGAAACAGTAGTAAGTGATAAATTAAACATAACAATAACAATGCCTTTCAATAAGTATTATTTATAATCTATATTGAATAAAAAAAACTCTGTTTCTATTTCTTACTTATCAGCAGCTGAAGATATTGACAGCCTATGTTGATCCCAACGACCTATTCCTGTTGGATATAATGATATTGCTGGTCCACCTTCCCAAAAACTCCAGGCAGGATACATTATATCATAATAATCTTTAGTCTGTAATAATGTGTAAAATTTATGTAATAATCAATTTTAGTTGGTGTGTTTATTATTATTTATTAGTTCAACCAACACCAATGATATCCAGTTAAAATTTGAATAGTTGAAAATTATTATACTATGCTTAATTAATAGTTAGTATACTGAGCTTTTATATAGAAGAGGGGGCAAATAAGCATGCGGCTCACCAGATGTTCAGTGACTGCCGCGGCCCATGAACCGCAGCAAATCCAAGACAACTGCAGGTGCGTGGCCGACTTTTTAAAAAGGAGTAGGCTATTTTATTAAAGATTCCTAAATCAGTCCGGAAAAATCGTTGGTGGTAGCCGATTCTACAAAGTTATGCGAGAAAGGAAATTCCTAGCAAATTGTACATTGGTGAATCATCAAGCATCCAGATTTTGTGGATGGTATTGCGAAGAGCGAATTAGTTGTCGCCATTCCGAGACATTGTTTAACAAAGACTTAACTCCAAACACAAGTTTGTTTTGGCACTTGTGAAAGTGTGAAGATAAATATTGACAAGGGCGGGCAGTGTAAAAGCATCACCAGTACTGTCATCTGCACATCAATGAATGTTGCTGCATTTTTGTTTTGGTTTACAACACATCGTTGATATGCAAAAACTTTCCCCCTTTGACTACTTACTCCAACCATCAATGAGTCGGGTAACCAAGACAATCTCTAACAGTTTGTGATCTACAAGGTAACTCATGAACTGGCAGTTTATAATGGACTCCATTATTTTAGAGAACAAGAAGGTAATGGCGATAGGCCTTCAGAGACTGGTCTTTTCTGTCGCCTTTTTAGGGTTTGGGTGCACTAAAATTATCTTTCATGAGTTCGGGACTATGTTTAGGCATTACAAATACCATAAAAGAAGCTTAGCAATTGGTGCCAATTCCGGAGCACAAGTCTTCAGCACAATAGAAACATCAGCTCTACTAGACTTATCCAAGGAGAGGAGTGTTTTGGTAAACGCACATCCGACATGTGTGGATGCTCCATATCTGGATTTCACAAAATTACCAATTGTATCATACCAATGCCAAGGCGAAGTTGCAAACAAATCGAGAAACGATCGAATCATTCAGCATGTTGAGCATGGAAATCGCCAAGAATCATGATCTCTGTGGAAGGGATCTGTTGTAGCACGGAATCTGTATCTGTCTATCCTCTGGTTATCACATTGAAGATGGGCCAATTAAGAGTATCCCTAACCGACAAGTATGTATATAAATGGATGTGAAAGAAGTAAGAGAAGTATCGAACGTTTATTTAGCTTGTATTTATATATGTAGTATATTACTTGGTCTATTGCAAATACTCAAATTATAAAAGAGGATTAATCATTTTTAACAATTTTATAACCATCTCCTCTAAGCTCTGAAAGTAATTCTTGTTAAAAAAATAGGGTGGGTACATGTTATAGGCAATGATATTATCAATTTTTAATAAATATAAGTATTGTAAAAACAATTTGAAGTCATGTGGTAGTCGCTTAACAAAATCCGTCACCCCATTTTGTCCTGTGGTGTCTTAAGAGGTGACTAACGAAAATGCCAGAAAAATGTTATAGCTTTCAATGGATGGTGGTAAGACCACCTCGTTTATGCCAGACGTAAAATAACTGAACTCAAAGGTTCAAGATTTTATAACTGTGTTTGTGAATCCGCTGACCATGTCCAACAGTGATTCTTTAAAGACTTAAGAAGAGTAAGTATAAAACAAGAAAACTGTTTTCTTATTACTAAACATGGTTTATTGTAAGGTATCAAGTTTAAGCTATGGTTATTTAAGATGAGTATTTCTAATTGAAGAAGTCCCTTATCCTTGACGTCATAGTCCTGTGTAGCTGTAAAATTCCATACTTTACATTTTTGTTCATACATTTCTGTGGTTACTTCTTTTGTGAAAAGATTGTAGTTTAAACCTGAGGTTTTTATAAACTACTTTTTGTAATATCCCAGATTATGTTTAAATTGCAAACAATGTTAATACTTATTACAAATATTAAACTTAAACTTACTTAAAACTTAAACTTAGTCACTGGGATATGGAGCCACCATTTGTTATAGTAAAATTATTTGAAATTATGACGGAAGCTTAAATGTGATTTTTGGTAATTAAAAAAGATATTAATAAAGGTGTATATTCATTCGATTTGCATACTAAAAAGATAATCATTAACCTTACTGAAAGAAAATACTGGAGCTTTCTTATGACCCCAAGCACGGTTAATCTGTGGCCAGTCTCTAGTATTTATGACAAGTTCCATGTTTGGCAATTTAGGTGCCAATGCAGTTAAATAATGTTCTACACCAGAGCATCTGGATGGAAAGTGGCACTCCTTTTGTCTATATACTTTTCCCTCGATAATCTACAAAAATGAAATAAAAAAATGTGTAAATAGGATAAAAGTTTATTATTCATGTGTTATGTAATTTTTCTAATTTTATATTAAATAAAACTTAAAAAAAAAATTGATATTGATTATGTTTAAGATGATGAAAATATAAACTGTAGCATTGGCTTAGATGCAAAATCAGAACTGGCCCAACGTGTTGGGCTGGCCCGTGGTAGCCACCCTGAGTGGACCTGGCAAGCCAATTTCAGATGTCTTACTGAACTTTTTTTTTACAGGATTGGGTGACAAATGAGCACACAGTCCACCTGATGGTAAGTGGTTGCTGTGGCCCATAGACATTAACATCTATCCTCGCTTGCAAATCAAAATGCAAATGTGTTTTCACCCGTGAGGACTAAGATGGAATGCCTCTTTTCCAGTAAAAAGGGTCGCTGGTTCTCTGCACTCACCATATGAAACACAGCAGTTTTAAGCTGCTATTTCACGCTAGTATTCTTTGAGAGCGTGGTCCTTCCCCGGTTGAGCCGACCCATTTGTGCTACAACTATACTACTAATATAGCTGCAGCATGATATCATGCTATCTACCACATATAAAACTGGACTAGGACTGTGGCAAGAGTAGTCTCCCCCTATCTCAAAGCCATGAAAGGAGTCGCAGAGGAAGAGGAGTGTCAGTATAGTGATGCACAACTCGCCCTATTCCACTGGGGTATAGTCGTAGGGTCGGTCGGTCAGCAGATAAGCTTGCCATAGCAAGATCTATCAAAAGGTTAGGGATTTTCCCATGTGAATTGTGCCGAATAAGAAAAAATACATGAGACATAAAAATCAAAAAAATGTATTAGTGGGCAAAGGACATTGTTTTGCATCCATACAATGTTCGCCTAAGAACCAACAGTGAAAAAAAACCTTTTTAAGTCCGAAATTACACATAATTGTATGTAAGAACAATAACTCCTGACGGACACTTCTGAAAACTTTGATATTTGCAATTATCATAGAGATTTTGAGGTTATGTTTTATGTTTATGAAACATTACTATGTTATTGCCAATGTAAGCAGTTCAGTCTTAGCTTAGCATTTATACGGTAAATAAAACTTAGGTTGTGATTAGGTATTTATTTTATTCATACCAAATAAATACAACATATACAGTCTCATTTGGTTAAAGTCCCTGATTCAAGCCAGGCAGGTCACTAAAGAAGAGTATCGATATCCGTTGTTCAAGCCGTTGTTCGTAATTTATATAAACTTATTGCATAACAAACTAACTACAGAGTGCAGTTAGATTTCTAAAACATTTACAGAAATGTATTTTTTCAAACGAAACCAATACCACGTCTGACGTCTATCTATCAACGTTATTGACTTTTTTTTGCGTGGCACAATGCTGATTTGCCAATGAGATGACAATAGTATTGTTATTTTAAATGAAAATAGATGATTTCACTGTACCCCAGTTCCTTGTGACATATATTAATCTGAGATATATTTTAAAATATAAACGTTTTCATAATATATTTGACTTTATGACAACTTTTGAAATATGTGAGTGAAGGTATTGTGCGATTGGCCAAATCACAGGAGGCCATAAACGCAGCACAATAGTATTAAAAAATAGGTACAAAGTTCAAAATCGAAAAAGTCCTTTTTATTTTGATTTCACAAGTCAGAAGTGTCCGTTACTATCTAATGAATGTTATCTAATGCATAATTAAGGATAAGAATTTTGATAATTGTCAAATATGTTGCTTCTTAAGCAAGTTTTAACATTGTCCTTTCACAAATATTGGTTAGATTCAGTTTTGAGCCTAGAATCTACAACATTGTACTAAAAACATAAGCTGTTTTCTATAATAATTGTTTTTTCAAATTAAGATTCCCATAATAATTCGACCTCCAAAAAAATATTATTATAATAATATAGAAAAATATTATAGGCTTTTAAATTCACTTTCAGAAGTTGTAAGACTAATTGTTTTAAGACTATTCAAATCTTTATTTACATTTTAAGATCCATAAAATTTTATTATAGTGTTTTCAAAAGATATCCATGTGAGTATATAGCAACTTGAGTTTAGAATTAATTACCACTTAACATTCAGAAAACACAATCTTTGCTTAAAAAAAAATTATATACATATGTACTTATAATATAAATATTGTAATATATATTTTATATGTTCGTATTTTGTGTTGCCATACCGTTTATAAGATTATAGTAAAACTTTGTCAACTTATTCCTTGCACTTGCGTGATGGTTATAGGCATAGTACAGTTATGTTACAGTAGGTTGCATGCTTATTGTACCGTCACATTTATTTGAAAGTTATATATCATTCAATGTCAATGAATGTATTATCATTCCTAATTATATATATATCTCATTAAAAAAAATTACCACAATATTTTTTTCTGCAGCAGCAACGCACCAGGTACCAGCTAGTTTTATATAATAAATATAAATATTTAGATTTCCTTTTCCTTTTAGAGATATGACAATATTTTGTAGTTCATGAGTTTTCCATTATTATAACAACGTTAAGCTTAAATGCAATAAAGATTTATATATTTATCAATATACATGCATAAATTTGTAGATTCATATATTAGGAAACTTACAATATTATCGTATCTCAAGAAGAACTGATGATACTATGAACTCCAAATCAATTTTATTTAACAGTCAATAATGACCACATTCTTTATACTTTCTATGTATGATTATAACATTATAATAACATACTCAGGTCCAGCATTTGACTGGAGTGGAAAGCAGCTATGGCAGCCAACAGACACCAGAACACAAAAATACATAACTATGCTGCTTAGGAGTAGAAATAGAAAAAAGGGAAGTTCCTACTCTTAAAAATTTAAGAGAAACAGCCATAACACCTAGTGGTAAGTTAAAAAAAAAACATACACATACCTGATATTTTGTTCCCTTTAATTTAGCAATGTCCAATTGTTCTTTCACAATTCCATCTTTAAAAGGTAACAGATCCTGGTCAATAACAGCTTTATGGCAACTACAATTTGATTTTTCACAAGATTTATAGGTTTCTGTTGCTAATTTTATGTATTCATTTATTTTTGTTGTCCATTCATTTATTTCTGGAAAGGTTTAATTCTGTATTATAATTTCTAACACAGGTAACTATCTACATGACCTCAAAAACAAACGAAAGGCTTTATACCTTATTGGATGTTTATAAGTTTAACCTCAAACTTTGCCTACAACAGCAAATTTTAAGCAAGACATTTTATTAAGAGGACGAAAAAGCTTTCATGTGAAAATATAATGATTTTTTTAACACAAATCACTAATTACTACATACATAGTTCTAAAAGAGAACGTACATACCTCGACTGTATCTATTTTTGTTTTGTAAACAATCATATTCAGAGGAACAATAATCTGAAGCATTATAAATATCTACATTTATTAGTAAATACGACAGTAAAAGAAAGACTTGCATTATATTAATTTTTATTACAAAAAAGTTATGTACATAGATAAATATATATGTCGCAAGCTAGTTATGTACATACATAGATAAATATATATCACAGAACACATGTACCCTGACGGGATATATATGTAGCACAGAGTACTTTTATATATACTGAATGATATGTAGCAAGCTATGTACATATTTTTTCCGTTCGCCGCTTTTTCTTAATAACTCGCTTTACGGCTCTGGGTTCTAGCCCTTCTGAGCCTAAGTTACAATGTATAATTATCCTTCATAGTACACTGCTTCACAATATGTTGATGCGTCACATTGTGCCCTTGGGAGATTTTGACGGCAACTTGAACCAGCAGACAGCTGACAGTTGGCGATGGTAACTCAAGGTGCCTAAGCAGACAGACACCTTATCTTGAGAATCACATCACCATCAGAGCACTTGTTTTACCGTTTCCACTAATAGTTCACATGCGCAGACACGTAATACACAAAATGACACCACTTTTACATATTAAAGTCCACTTCAAACCATTATCTAAACAATAATATAGGAGCAGCAAATCGCCGCCGGTCAAGTTCCCGCCAAAACTCCGTTCGCCGCCCGTCGCAACAGACCACAGAATACTTTTACTCCTAACCAAAGAGTATACTCCTAGCTAGCTTGCTACATATTTCTTTATCTATGCTCCTAGCGGAGAAGAAGAGCAAGAGAAAACACTCCAAGGTATATTATAACCTCCTTGATACGGCGTTTAGACTCTCGCCTCGCGCCTCGCCTCGTACCTCGCCTCGCAGCTCGCGTGTTGTTGCGAGGTAACGAGTGCCTGTGCGATGTGTTCAGTTTGCGATGAGCCAGTAACGATGAAAGACGTCGAAATAATAGCAGCATCAACTTAGTCACGTGTATGAAAGAGGAATGTGAAATTAAAGGTCTCCGTTTGAATGCTAATAAAACTAAGGTTCTGGTATTTGAAAGGGACGAAGAGAGAACGAAGTGTGAAATATGGGTAAATCAGGAATGTCTAGAACAGGTAAATGAAATTGTATACTTGGGGAGTGCTTTTAGCCGGGATGGAAGATGTGATTTAGATGTGGACAGGCGTGTCGCTGCCGGGAACAAAGTCAATGGTGCCCTGACTGCGTTAGTCAAAAGGCAAGGCGTAGCGAAGAGTGCACGCCTTGCAATACATAACGCAGTGTTGGTACCGACTTTGTTATATGGCAGCGAAACCTGGGTATGCCAGAAGAAGCATAAAAGTAAGTTGAATGCAGTGGAGATGCGATCTCTTCGTAAAATGTGCGGCGTTACTATGGCCGACCGAAAGCGAAACGAAGAGATTCGCAATATGGCAGGTTTGAAAGATGACATTATCACAAAAATTGATAAGGGCGTGCTTCGGTGGTTTGGGCACGTTGAGCGAATGAGTGAAGACCGAATGGTGAAGAAAATATATAGCGCGAAAGTTAATATTAAAAGGTGTCGAGGTAGACCGAGACTAACTTTCGAAGACCATGTGAGCAAATTGCTCGAAGAGGGTAGGGTCAAGAGTACTCGGATACCTAGACGTGCATGTATGAAGAAGATAATGAATCTGAAAGAAGCGAAAGAGATATGTAAGGATCGTGACACTTGGCGATCTGTTCTCTCTGGCTACCCCGTCAGGGATTGTGCGTGAACTTGCCGCAATAAGTATTTATCGATGCTTGAGCATTTTAAAAAGAAGGAAATTAAAAAAAATACGTCGTTGAGGAAGAATATGGTTTTCACTTTCATAATTTTATATAAATTGCTAGTACCTATTGTGCAAGATTAAATAATATTACTTTATTAAAATTGTAATTTTAAAACAAAAGCAATTCGAATGTTATTATAGAAGGGCGCCGTAAACAAACTCAGCGAGTGTAAACACCACGCTCGCGTCCCTCGCGAGGCCCTTTGCCTCGTGCCCAAAAAACCGCCTCCGACGCGAGCACCGCGAGTGGCAAGGCGAACTGCGAGTCGAGCCACGAGCTAGCGTTTACACTCGCGCATAGATAATACACTATATACCAGCACTCGCGCCTCGAGGCTCGCCTCGCGACTCGCCTCGCCGCTCGCGCGAGTGTGTAAACGGGGGGTGAGACACTCACATGCATAGATAATACACTACTCACAGGGTTGCCAACTTTATTTTTTAGTAGATAGTACCATAAACTGGAAAAGATGGTATTTTGTTAAGAACTCAAAAAAAGATAGTACGCATCAATATTTCAATAAAACAATGGTGAAAAATACAAAAATAATATTATTATAACGTTAAAGCAAAATTTTACATTTAAGAATCTGACACTACGATTTTTTTTTAATCTAACAAAGAGGCTCTTAGTAACTTTATCCATTTGGGGGGTATTTGCCATAGTTGCCATGCTTGGCGAGTGGGTTGGCAACCGCAGTTTTTTTATTGTATTTTTGCTGTTATCAGGAAGATGCTGCTGCCCATCTCCTGCCTGTTTCCCTTTGGTCAGTATTCAGTTTAGTTCAGGTATACCTCAAAACTTGAAAATGAGACTGTACAACCAGGCGTGTTGCCATTGATGCCATACGGAACTGAGACGTGGTCCTTCACTGCTGGCCGGATGAGGAAGCTCAAGGTCGCCCAGCGAGCTATGGAGAAGGCTATGCTTGGAGTTTCTCTGCGTGATAAACTTAGAAATGAGGATATCCACAGTAGAACCAGAGCGACCGACATAGCCCAACGGATTAGTAAGCTGAAGCGGCAGTGGGCCGGCCATATAGCTCGAAGTACCAACGAAAAAAGGTTCTCGTACCGGCGGACGAAGTGTATGGCGTCCCCCCACTAGATGGAGTGACGACCTGGTAAGACATGCAGGAAGTAAATGGATGCAGGTGGCTCAGGACCGTGTTTTGTGGCATTCCTTGGGGGAGGCCTATGTTCAGCAGTGGACTTGTGAAGGGCTGTAATGATGATGATGATGATGAACAAAGAGACTCGGACTATATCCACTCTGCCCTCTATTACAAAAACATGTAAATAAAAATAACTTATATATATATATATATATATATATATTATTCTAATAATATATGATTATCTGCGTAGTGTAATATTGTTTGGATTAGAACGAATAGAATGAGATAAAACAAGCTCGAAGAAAAGTGGTTAAACTGCGCGGGGAATTCCTTAATCGGCGGTGAGTTAACGGAATAATATAATACCACAAACTAATAAGAAGTGCTAGTACGCTGCGTATTTCTTAAGTGCGAGTGGGATAGGGAGTTTAAAAAATATTGGATTAGATACGTTCATGAAAAAATACAAAGAAAAGTTTAGAGCTCGTTCAATTTTGATGTTATTGAGTTTTCAAATCGATAAAATGAAGTTAATCAATTATCATTTTTATATTGTTATAAAGATTATAAGATTTGAATAGATCGTATATTTTGCGTACGACTCGAATATATGATCGTACACCGTATTAGGGCCAAAAAGATCGTATGAGTACGATTTAAATCGTACGGCTGGCCACACTGGACACTCACGCGTCAGACGGACGTCTCTGGTTTTTTTTTGCGCCCAAATGCAATGGAAAGGGCTAACCTCCGGAAAGCGAGGAGGCCGCCGGAGGAGCCGGCTGTCGTGGTTATGTGGGACTCACTGCGACTAACCTAACCTAAGTGCTTATCCACTAAACACCACCTGTGAGACTTGCATTTGCTTTTGTGGCCTTTCTGCCGAATCGGAAGCGACCCTCTTTAGGGAAAAGGGGGCGCACGTATCTGGTACATTTTGTTTGAACTATATAGTGTTCATTAAACATTGATTGTTCAAGTATTCGATAGTATTCGATAGTTTCTTATAAGACCTCGATATATCGATAGATTATCGATTGTCTTTGAGCAGGTATCATGAAATTTCTTTTTTTGATATATAAATTGGATATAGGCCACAAACTATGGAGTGTAGAGTACAAGGAGAACCATCTTATAAGGGGCGAAAGTTGAAAAAGTGTCCTACTATTTACTGAAAATAGAGGTTCCAAAACCTACCACAATAGCGCTGGCGTCTGAAAAACTACGATATGAAGATAGCTGTTGTAAACGGAGTGAAGTTAGCTGAATTCAAATATTAAAAAAATTTCATGACAAATTCTCAACTATTTACGTAGTACAAAACCAAGCGGATTGGTCGGTCTCGGTGACGTCGGTGGGTTTATTTCTCCATCTTATTGTAATTACTTTTGACGTTTTTTTTTTTTAATTTATCCTATACTACTGCAGCTCCACCCTTATTGGACATGTTTTTAGGGACACTTTTCATACATAAAGATGGTACTCCTTCTCTCTACACTCCGTACCACAAACTATATAGAAGCCATGGAGGTTAGAGCTCCATGACTGAAGCGCTGCTATCATAGAGATAGCTAAATGTAGGCAGTGAAATTATAAGATTTTATTCATGGAACACTTGGTAAAGCTTAAATTATACATTAGCTAGAAAGAAAGAACAAAATAATACAATTAATCTCTATATATTCCGTTTTTATTGCCATTTTGTTTTACATTACCTAGGTATATTCTTCGTACTTCTTAAACTCACACGATTTGGATTCATTATTAAAAACAGGGTCGAGATTGCGTATGGGTAATATCACATTCTAGGAGTACGTGATATTACCCATACGGCCTCGGCCTCTTCGGCCTCCTAGCATACTTACTCTGCACAGGGGTTGTCTGTTATTCCTAAGTTTGGTATTTCTGGTGTTTACTGAAAGCGCCATGAGCCATGACCAGTCAGGGGTTAGTTACTAAACTCATTTGGGATGGATTTAAATTTAGGAGGCGTTTTGTTAGTCTGCTATTTAGGTCAGGGATTGCTAGTTTGGGTAACACTTGACTATATTTTTTTGCAATAGTTATGTACGTCTTGAAATAGAGGTTTTACTCCAGATATATCATAGTCACTATCGCTCGTTTCTATAAAATCACTATCGTGGTTGGATTCTTTGTC